CCATTTTGTCCCTATATTGCTAATTCTCAATCCAGAGATGTTTCTGAAGGTGAAAATCGCATTTAAATTAATGCAGTTCAATCAAAATGAAAAAAATAATTTCTAAAACTGAACCTTCACAATGCCATTGACACACAAATCAGTGTCTTCCTTGTTCTGCCATTTATATTGATTCACTCACTGGTATTAAAATAAATGGTATTACTATAACAAATCACCAAAAACTCATCAGAATAGCTTAATTGCTGAAGTAATTCTAAGCAGCAAATTCAAATAATTTAGTTAAAAAGCAACATTTTCCTATTTCATCTCAACCTTCCTGATTCGCCTTTCTCATTTCCTCAATAATCCATTTCAATCTATATGTTACCTTTCCCTGTTTATTCAAACGTAACTATCATTCCTACACATTATTGTCTTTGAAAAAAAAGGCACAAGTTTAAATCTTTTGTCTGGACTCTATCTTCATCCCTCCAGCTCCAATCTTTCAGGTTTAATTTTGTAGGGGGGAATAAATGAAGTGGTATTTCATTGGTTTCTGATTGCTGTCTTCATTGAAAGGCAAAAGAACAAAGATTTAAGGCTCAATTTTCAAATCGGGGCAGCAGGAGGATTAAGAAGCAGGCAACCAGATCTTTTCCAGGTTCCATCTCTGACAGGGCCTTATTTTAATGTTCAAAAGTCCCTAACTGGGAGTGGAAGTGAGACTTGCAATCAGTTCGAGAATATACACTCCTTCCCTCCCCTTGCTGCCTAGAGGTGAGGGATTAGCTCTGGATTGCAATGCTCAAAGCCAAATGGTAACCACGACTGGGCTAGTTGCCGCCTTGGGGAATAATGCAGGAAGGAGATCAGGAAGCCCTTTGCCTCATCGTCTGAGGAATGACCAACTGGTTCTTTACTCACCCTGCCACTGCCCAAAAATCTCAGTTTGCATAGTACTTCATAAATATAGATAAATCTAGGTGAAAAGTCAGTATGCAGGCACATCAAATGATTAAGGCAGCTAATGGGATGCCTTACTTTATTACAAACGAACTGGACATAAATCCAAGAATCATAAACTTCATTTTCACAGGGTATTGGGTGGGACCACATCTCAAATACAGTGTGCAGTTTTCCTTTCCTTATTTAGGGCATTGGAGGTGGTACAGAGGAGGTCACTAGATTAATACTTGGAATGAGCAAGTTATCCTACGAGGATAGGTTGCACAGGCTGGGAGTGTTTTCACTGGTGTTTAGAAGAGTGAGAGGTGATTAGATTGAAATGTATATAGATCCTGAATGGTCTGGACAAGGTGGTTGTGTAAAGGATATTTCCTCTTGTCTGTGATTCCAGAACTAGAGACACCAATTTAAAATTAGGGGTCACCCTTTTATAAAAGGGATTAGGAGAAATCTTTTCTCAGAGCATGCGACTTTAGAACTCTCTGCCTCAGAAGATGACGGAGGCGTGGTCATTGACCTTTTTTTAAAGGCAGAGCTAGATTTATTCCCCTGCCTAACAAGAATCTAAGATTATTGGAGGTAGATGGGAATGTGCAATTCAGAACACAATCAGACAGCCACTGAATGAAGGAGCAGGCTTGAAGGGCTGAATGGCCTAATTTGTATGTTCTTTTGGTGCTTTAATTCAGCAGTGACATCACATTAAGGAGCAGAGGCAATAGGCCAAATGGTCTCCTCTTGCTCATAACATCTCCAATGCAGGTGTGACTTGAACCTGGGTGTTCTGACCCAGAGGTAGGGATATTAGCACTGTCCTGCTACAGTCCTTGTTCCTTTTGCACTTGAATGATTCTGTGATTACAGCCCTGCATCCCCAGTGTGCTCTAAAAGGTCGTGTGTTAGATCGTTCAATCTTCTCCCTCCTCCTCTGCCTGTTACCAAGCGCAGCAATGAGCAACGCGCTTAGCAGTCAGTGAATTGGAAAATGCAGCACGTCCATGTCAGGCCACCTGGGAGTGCAATTTCCAAAGTGTTCCCGTATCTAAACACACCCGCCCATTGTCATAGAGTCACAGATTAATATAGCACGGAAACACGGTCCAACTTGCCCATGCCGACCAGATATCCTAAATTAATCTAGTCCCATTTGCCTGCATTTGGCCCATATTACTCTAAACCCTTCCCGTTCATGTACCCATCCAGATTCCTTTTAAATGTCATACTTGTACCAGCCTCCTCCACTTCATCTGGCAGCTCGTTCCATACACACACCACCCCCTGCATGAAAAACTTACCCCTCAGGTCCTTGTTATTTCTTTCCCCTCTCACTTAAACCAGGGCCATTTTGTTTTGGACTCCCCTGCCCTAGGAAAAAGATTTTGGCTATTCATCCAATGCATGCCTCATAATTTTACAAATCTCTAACAGGACATCCCTCAGCCTCCAACACTCCAGGGAAAGCAGCCTTTCTCTATAGCTCAAACCCTCCAGTACTGGCAACATCTTTGTCAATCTTTTCTGCACACTCTCAAGTTTAGCAACATCTTTCCTATAAAAAGGTGATCAAAATTGCATGCAGTATTCTAAAAGTGGCCTCACCAATGTCCTGTACAACTGCAACATGACCTCCCAACTCCTATACTCAATGTTTTGACCAATGAAGGCAAGCTTGCCAAATACTCTCTTCACTGCCCTGTCTATCAGTAATGCCACTTTCAAGGAACTCTGCACCTGCACCCCAGGTCTCTTTGTTTGGCAACACACCCCAGGGGCCTACCATTAACTGTATAAGTCCTGTCCTGAACAAAAACAGAAGTTGCTGGAATAGCTCAGCAGGTCTGGCAGCATCTGTGAAGGAAAAAAAAAAAAAGTCACAGTTAACATTTCAGGTCCGGTGAACTCTGATTTTTCCTTCACAATTGCTGCAAGACCTGCAGAGCTTTTCCAGCAACTTCTGTTTTTGTTCCTGATTTACAGCATACGCAGTTCTTTTGGTTTTTATTAAGTCCTGTCCTGGTTTGCCTTACAAAAATGCAACCTCACATTTATCAAAACTAAATTCTATCTGTCACTTATCGGCCCATTGGCCTGTCTGATCAAGGTCCTCCTATACTCTCAGATAATCTACACTGTCCACTACCCCACCTATTTTGGTGTCATCTGCAAACTTGCCTCCTATATTCACATTCAAATCATTTATATAAATGATGAAAAGCATTGGACCTAGCCCTGATCTCTGTGACATACTGCTGGTTACTGGCTTCCAGTCTGAAAAATAACCCTCTACCACCACCCTCTGTCCCTTACCTTCAAGCCAATTTTGTATCCAATAGGCAAGCTCCCCATGGATCCCATGTGAGCTAACCTTACTAACCAGTCTGCCATGTGGAACCTTGTCGAATGCGTTGCTGAAGTTTATACAGACAACGTCTACTGCTCTTCCTTCATCAATCTTCTCTGTCACCTCTTCAAAAGACCAGATCAACTTAGTGAGACACGATTTCCCATGCACAAAGTCATGTTGACTATCCCTAATCAGTCCTTGCCTTTCCAAATGCATGAAAATCCTGCCCCTAGACAGGGTCAACTTACCAACCACTGACGCAAGGCTCACCAGTCTATAGTTCCCGAAAAGCATGACCAAGTCAATGTTAGTACTTATGACTTGAAAATAAAAAATTGGGCAGAATCAATTCTTGCTGTTTTGCTCACTCATATTTAGTACAAGTTCCCGAGTAGACATCGCTGGCAAGGCCAACATTTGTTGCCCATTTCCAATTGCCCTTGGGCTGATTTGATTGGCTAGTCAAATCAAGACGACAGCTAGGAGTCAACCATCTCCCTGCGGGTCTGGAGTACATGTAGGCCAAGATAAGGATGGCAACTTTCTTTCCCTAAGGAACACTAGTGGACCAATTTTAAAACAATTGGTGTTCGTCGTCACGGGGACTAGCTTTCAATTCTGCGTTTATTAACTGAATTTAAATTCCACCAGCTGGTGAGGTGGGATTTGAAACCTTGTCACCAAAGTATCAACCTGGGCCTTTAGTAGCCCACTGGCATTACCACTACGTCACCAGCTGCCCCCTACCCCCATGCAGATTCTCACACTCACCTCCCCACGTACTGTAACTTCCACTGCAAAACACAAGTACAAATGGTTAGAAAGATCACACACAAAATTGTCATTGCTCAGATGATGAAAACTGAAAATTCACATCAAATGAAGTTTCGTTTGTACAGACTGCTTTTTTTTGTTTAAAAAAAAAAAACAGGCTTTTGAAATGCAGTAACTTTTTTAAATTTAGGAGCAGCTACAAATCTTACTGGAGCAATGGTCTTTAAAACATATAAGTAACCAATAAACTGTGAGCATGAGGAGTTCTAAATGGCCCAGTCCCAGAACTCAGTCATGAGCTGATGTGAATCCCTACAACAGGTAGCCTGTGTTTTCTCCACCACATTTCCTGCAATTCAAATTCCTAAGGGATGGATTTTTAGCCTGTGGTGGAGCTGGGAATGAAGGCAGGCACATACGGAATTTTACACTATCCACTCGCTTTCCTATTCAACCCGCCCCATTTTCCTGGTATGGGCTGGGGGTACTCACATGCCCATCAAGGCCTACTGAGAGAGGCCGAGTGGAGGATTTTCCAGTTGTCCTCCAGGTCAGCGTGGAGTGCCTGCAGGCCCATGGCTTGAGGAAGGACTGCAATGTTTCACTTCTATCTCTATTTCTTTATCTTTCCACTTTATTCTAAAGAGATTTGTAATGATGAACTCTTTTAAACTTGTTTTTACTTTTCTATTTTTGTACCTAGATACCTATGTAGCCAAGATGGCACCAGGAATGGCGAACAAAGTACACTTTTCACTGTACTCCTGTACTTGAGTACATGTGACAATAAAACCTAAATCTAAAATTCAGATGGAAGTGGCTCGTCTAGCCACTTGGAGCTTGCTCTTGGTGAAAGGCTGCCATGCCATGCTCCTAGCTGGCCTGGAGATGCCCTCATCCCTGCCTGAACGCAGCAGCAACTGCAGGCCATTTTGCAGAGGGGATCCCATCATGCCCCTCTCTCCCTCCCAACAATAGTGGCCCTGCTACAAAAGCCATTTCTATAATTTTCCATTTTAAGCAATTGGAGGGCTTTGAACCACACTTCTTTATGTCACCCTGCTAATGCATTCCTGCTGGATGGTGACCAAAACAGTGTCTAGTGAATAGATTTGTATAATTTAAAACAAACACTGTTTTGTAACTCGCTCAAACACAGAGGAACATGGCAACTGAAACTGGAAAAGAAGTCAAACGTTATTCAAGGTCAGTGGCATTCCCAAGTCACAAGCTTGCAGTTTCACGACTTCAGTAAGTAATCTGACAACATGGCATCATTTTGTCTAGGAACATCAGCCTCTGGATAGGATATCAAGAGAAATATTAACAAGATGTTAAAACTGCTCATTCAGATGGATGTAAAGGATCACATAACAATTTTGGAACTGGAGAAACAACCGCTTGTATGCTGATTAATGTTCCCACCTGCTGCCAGAAACACTAATGCAAATTTACTGGTGATTCGTTTTATTTTCATTTTCAGTACTTTATGGTTCCAAACTTTGTGCCACGTTTGCTTACAAAGTTAATTAATTAGCACTGAAGTACTTGGAGACATCCTGGGAACGTATAAAGTTGGTATTTTGGACTGTTATGCATCCTACACTTCCTTAACCCTATTTTTGTTGGCTTCCCTTAAACTCTGGGCAAATCCATCAACAAACATTTCCATTTTTCTCCATTTTTATAAATTGGTCTTCGAAACCTACCCCTTAAGGGAAAAAAAAACACCCTTTTGGTCAGCAAGGTGTAGAGTCAGCAGTCCGGATGTCTCCTTTGGCTCAGTTTACATTTTACCTAGTTTTGCTCCTGTACAGTATCACAGGATATTTTGCAACTTTAAAGGCTTTTTCAATCCAAGTTGTTGTAGAACAAATGAAAGCTCATTGTTCTTTTCCAATAATCATGATAAGTTAGACTAGAGATGAAGAGCTTGACTGGGCACATTTGCTCCCATAAGAGAAAAATCTGTGTTTCAATCACCCCAAAATATTGTTTGATAGTCTTGACATACGCGTTATCCTGACTGAAAGAGATGCAATGGTGGTGATATTCAAACACAGTTAGCCGAACAGTGGAAGCCCATTTGAAAATTCTGCCTTTATCAACGATATTAAAGATGCAGCAAGAATAAGACCTTTGCGATAACCAGCAGATATAAACTGAGAAAGCATTAAGGGCCTTTATTGGCTGAGCAAATCTCTCATCACACACAGGCCCTTGATAACCTTTCGAAACCATCAGCTTCTGAGCCTTTATTAAAAGGCTTTTCAACCTGTAGTTTCTCAATAACAACAGAATTCAGCATAACATGCAATCTCTGCTTTTTTAAAAATCCAGTGAGAGGAGAACGGGGGAAAGAAAAGCTCCACTCTCCAAATACTTAAAAAGATTCTTTTAAAGCTATTGGAAAAATAGCCCAAGTATTTGGTTTAACAGCTGTTTTAATTTACTTGCTGTCCACTTCACCCACCACCTTGTGGGGAAGTGCTGCCATCAACAGAGCATCTTATAAGCGTGGAGTCTCAGGAAATAGCCATTTACGCAGTGCTTTGCAAAATGGGCGTCTGGGGTCATGGGATCCGAGTCAGCAACGGCAACCCTGGAGCTCTGACTGAATTATTCCAGCTGAGCTCCCACTCTAAACAGGCCCTCTGCTCTCACAGGACCCCCACCCCCATTCTCACAGGTCACACTGAAGGATCACGAAAACGCTCAAGTCTTGAAATGGGGTCAACGGTTGGAAAATGTGCTGCATTAAGAAATAAACAGCACCACACACAAATCAGAAGTCTGATCAGCTGGCAGTTAAGACCACAGAATGGAAAATGTGCTACAGTTCAGAAGCAATCAAACATTGCAACACCAAACTGCAGAAACAGATTTTAGCTGCACGGAGATATTTGGTTTGCAGAAGGCCTGCTCTGTGGGGCATAGTAAGGAATTGTTAAGAGTTCACTAGACAATGTCACTTATCTATCTAGGCTGAGGCAATATTGCAATGCACACACTTTGGTTACGAAATTATGTCAACAAGCATTACTGACCTTTGTAGTTGTGACCATGACCATTCGGGTTGTTGCATTTTCCAAAAATTCTTCTATTCTCTTCAGCACTTAAACAATTGCTGGAAAACAAGTTCAAAATGATGTCACATTTTCAAAGCAAATATTCTAAACTGCATACACTACACAGAGTTTCTAACAGGTTTATCATGTATTTTTCTCTCTCAAATCTGTGCAAATGTCCTTGCAGCTTACTCTGTTCTATGGGTAACGTCTGACGTCTGATATGTGACGTGGATGTCAAGAAAAGAAAAATTGGGAAATGCATTTGAAATTGGACATAATGAGAAATGTAACTTTTTTTTTGCCTCCTTGGTATTAGGCAACAGTTTGGGTTTTGAAACCTCCTTGTCAGAGTGATGCAAGTAGCAGGTGAAGAAATGCTTATGTCTGTCTCTACAGATAGTTGGAGAGATTTTCCACAAACAACTTGTCAGTAGAAGGTACAGTTTGAGAAGTGCCACTCAGCATCAAGTACGGCTAACTGGGGGACTTTCCCAAACTTATTACCTGCCATTGGCGTATTAGAAAGATTTAAGATTGATACTGTTTGACTACTTTGTGAATATACCTTCCATGTTCAGGAAGCCCTAGAGCAGGACACAAGCCTAATATTTGCTGCCTCAGATCCTGGGATCACACACACTGCACCATAAGACTTCTCTTAAACAGGATAGGAGGCTGCAGTACTAAAATAAAATGGAAATTAATTTGTTCAAAGATAACAAGGTGTAGAGCTGGATGAACACAGCAGGCCAAGCAGCATCAGAGGAGCAAGAAAGCTGACGTTTCGGGTCTGCACCCTTCTTCAGAAATCAGAATTGTTCAAGTTGTTCAACAAGGCTTCAAATTAATCCATTTTAATGGCTGGGACGAAAAGTTTAGAGTTTTGTCTAGCTAGTGCATGAATTTACAGGTGGATAGCTGAAGAATAAATTCCATTTCCTAATACTTCAAGGTTATGGAGGTGCCTTTGATAGCCATTCCTTATAATAATTCAGGAAATCCTGTAAAAGATCAGAATCTATTCTGTTCCAAAGTGTGCCTGCATTATCTGTCAGGAAGTCAACCCAGGGGTTAGCAGATCTGGACACTGCACCTTAAGAAAGATATATTGGCCTTGGAGGGAGCACAATCCAGTTTTGCAAGGATGATACCCACACTTCAGTGGTTAAATTATGAGGAGAGATTATGTAAATTAGGCTTGCTTTCTCTAGAATTTTGAAGGTTAAGACCAAAGTCTTCAAGGCATTAACAGGAAAAGACAGGCTAGATAAAGATAAACTATTTCCGCTGGCTAGGGATTGTATTACTAAGGCACATAGCCTGAGAATTATGGCCAGACTATTCAGGAGAGATGTTACAAAGCACTTCTATATACAAAAGATTATAGAGGTTGGAACTTTCTTCCACAAATGCCAGTGTATGCTGGATCGGTTGTTAATTTAAAATTGGAGATAGATAAATTTTTGTTAAGAAATGGATTTAGAGGGATATGAGCCAAAGGCAGACATATGGAATTCGGCCACAGATCAGCCATGATCTTATTGAATGGTGGAATGAGCTCAAAGGGGCTGAATGGCCCATGCCTGTTCCAGTGGGTGGTACAATCAGATCTCATTATGTCATAAGATTGCACATGGTGTCCTTTCCACTTCTCATCACATAAGCCTTTGTTTTTGAAAGTGGATTGAAACCTTTGGTGAGATGAAAGGATTGTGAAAAATTAGGTTGCTTTATTTCACAGGCAGCCAATAAGAATACAGTTCAAAGTTCAAATTTTCAATGACTAGGCTCAATTTTGATTTATTCACAGAAAAAAAAAAGGACAAGATGATCAAATATACCTGCCTCTTTCACAGGCTGACGTATTTGCTTTTGAAATTACCACATTGGTACCCCATTATAACAATCCATTATACCACGATACTCAGTATAATCCCGGGATCTGTCCTGACCCTCAAGAGTTTAATTCAGCAAGTGATACAAGAAGCTACCTACTGAGAACACAGCCATCATCATTTTTTTAAAAAAAATAAAAATTAAAAGCAAACATTTAATTATGGAGTTCACTTTAATGCTTTATTTATTTGGGGAGCTGGTGACATAGTAGTAATGTCCTTGGAGTGGTAATCCAGAACTCCAGGCTATTGTTCTGGGGACATAAGAGAGAATTGTGCCACAGCAGATGGTGGAAATTTGAATTCAATAAAGAAAAATAAATTAAAATAAAGAAGTCAAATGGCAAACATTGTCTGTTGTTGTAAATACCCACCTACCTCACTGGCGTCTTTTAGGGAAGGAAATCTGCCATTGTTATTTGGCTGGGCCTACACATGACTCCAGATCACTCCAATTCACTTTTAACTGAAAATGACCAAACAAGCCACTGCCCACATCCCATGCAGTTTTTTTTGAAAAAAATTGGAGCGTGAGTACTGAATACTGGGAGGCAGCGGTCTAGTGGTGTTTTTGCTGGACTGTTAATCCAGAGATGCAGGAAATGTTCTGGGGTCCTGGTTTCAAATTCCATTATGGCAGACAGTGGAATTTATATTCAATAAAATCTGGAATTAAGAGTCTAATGATGACCATGAAGCCATTGTCAATTGTTGGATAAATCAATCTGGTTCACTCATGAGAAAGAAAGAAACTGCCATCCTTACCTGGTCTGGCCTACATGTGGCTCCAGACCTATAGCAACATGTCTGATTCATAACTGCCCTCTGGCCAATTAGGGATAGGGCAATAAATGCTGGCCTAGCCAGTGATGCCCTCATCCCATAAATGAATTAAAGAAAATATTGGGCTCTAGTGTAGTTGCAACCAACCCAAGCATGAACCACCAGCTAAGAAAGACAGCTGTTTTGAGATTACAAACCCTTTGAATATGTTGTAGCAGCACTTTCAGTGTATTTTCAAATACATTGCCCTCTTGTACTTCGCAAACCTCTGTGTCCCAGTCTGTCATTCAGAAGTTCCTGGTCCAATTATCCTTTTTCTCCTGCTTCATTATTACTTCATGAAGCAGCCAAGAATTAGCCAGCAGTCTCCTCAAAGCAAACCAAGTTCCCCTCACACATCATGCCCATATAAACATTACTGTCATCACCATAATGGACACAAATATTTGTTTGGCCACATGATAAATTGATCGCAAAACCCTTGGATATCCTGGCTTGTTGGCTTTAAGATGTGTCCTCTGTGACCTGCAACCTTTCTTTGCAACATCAGCAAAGCTACTTGAGTTTAACCATCCATGACTGAAACAAAGCCTTCTTTTCAAGAGTTTAAGAACTAGACAGATTTCAAACTTCATTATGGGGCAATTATTAATCTGTAAAAGATTGGAGGTTTCAGAGAGTTTAGAATTTATAAAACCACAAGAAGGCTGGTAAGATTAATCACGGTTCCAGCAAGTAGCAGAATAATACTCATTCATAACGCAATACTCTAGATATTAAAAAAAAAGGCTGAGCTTGTTTGCTACTTTTACACTTGCCCACAAACCTACAGTGGGATATTGCACAGGAATTTGCAATGACTGCAATCTGAAATGGTGAATCCTCTACATGGACCAATGTGAATCAGACAAGCATACTGCCTGAATTAGAATCACAGAATCCCTGCAGTTTGGAAGCAGGCCCTATGGCCTATCGAGTCCACTCCAACCCTCCAAAGATCATCCCACCCTGACCAACCCCATACCCTATCCCTATCCCCCATGGCTAATCCAACTAGCCTGCACATCCTGGACACTATGAGTAATTTAGCATGGCCAATCCACCAAACCTGCACATCTTGAGACTGCAAATCCTCATTGAGCCAAGGCAGTCCAAGTTAGAATAATTAATTCATAGCGATATAAATGGGCATATCTTGTTAGGTTTTGACCCCCTAGTCTAAGTATCAAACACTAGAATCCTCTAAACCTCTTCATTTCACTATCTTTCTCTCTCCTCTAAATATCCTTGAAACAAAGCTATTTGAGCAAACCTTTGATTACCTGCCCTATTATCTTCTCAGGTGGCTCAGTGTCAGATACCTGGTTAATAACACTCCGTGTAAACTGTTCAATGATGTTTGGCTATGTCAGGAGTGCTGTATTATTGTTGCAGGCTGCTGTTGACAGATTCGCCTGAAAGATTTTTCACGGAAAGACCACGTCTTAAAGTGGCTGAGTGAATAAATCGGATGTAAATAAGTGGATTTGCCAGTGTGCCGAGTGGGTGAGGAGAGGTCACTGACACAGTTGCCTTGTTACAGAGGTGGGTGGACCTTTGCAGGGGGTGGGGGTAGATGTGAGTCTCCCATAAGAACAGACTACACTACAGGCCTGCCTGGACGTACGGACGTGAAGCAAACGTTGAGGCTTACAGTACTGAACCAATCCACATCAGTGATTAAATCCAGGTCTCCTACAACACAGCTCACCCGTTACGAAACAGGATGCAATGATTCCGGGAATGGGTTACGCCGAATTAAAGAGGACATGTTACAGCTGCGGTTCTCGGGGGGGCGGACTGTCTCAGACCCAGCATTTACCTCTGACCTCAGGGATATTGTGAAAGGTCAATTTCACACGCTGTTACGGAACTGAAAGCAGCAAATAACCAGGACACAACCTCCCTACACGAGAGACCCTGTGCAAGGAGAGTTTCTGTTTGGGGCAATGTAATGAAGAGATGGTTAAATAAGACCGATAAACCCATGCACAATTACACCACAATAGACAGACCGGGGCGTATTTCCTGAGTACGTTTCACTGTTGAAGCTTCCATATTATGTTCTTGCTCTCAGTGAAAGTGAAACTTACAACGTCCGCATGGGATGGTGCCAGATTTTAATTTGTTTACCTATGGAGGCGATGAGCAGCGTTGAAGCTTTCCACTCTGGTCACCAGCGCCGTCCTGGTCGGTTTCAGTGGCTTCTCTCCCACTTCCATGAGTGCAGCGACAACCTGATCTCCAGTTACCAACACAGCCTCAATGCGGCAGGTTAGAAGGCACGTACAGCACACCAGTCATCCGACTTCCAACTCACTTCCGCCTGATCATCACATCTTTCCAAACCCCAAACATCCACACAGCTGCACTTTTGCATTCAATACCTTCACGTTGCTGTTGCTTATATATATTTGTCAAGGCGGCTTTGAAAATAGAAAATAAAGCAATTTAGGGAAAGTGTAAATACTTTGTTTTTACTTTTAATTTATAAGTTATTTTCTCATTTATATTTAATTTGGAAAAAATATGTAACACATTTGAATGACAGACGTTTGTCAAATTTGGTTTGATATATGACATTTCATCAGATGATATATGACCACCTTTGTAAACATAATTGCATTTACCTCAGTGACATCTTCTGTACCAAATCTTGTGAAGGAAAAAATAGAGTTGAAACTCATAGATAAATTCAGTGGTGCCTACCCACCTTCGCTCTATACAGCGGTCGTAGTTCACATAGGTACCAATAGGATAGTTAGAACTCGGAGATTATGAACAGGGAGTATGAGGAGCTAGGCACTAAATTATAGAGCAAAACCACAAAGGTTGTAATTGCTGGATTATTACCTGAGCCACGTGCAAATAGGCATAGGGTACAGAAAGTTGAGAGAGAGGAATAGGTGGCTCAAAGATTGATTGGGAGAAGTGGGTTTCGGTGTGTGGACCACTGACACCAATCCTGGGGAGCTTGAGGGCTGTACCATTCGGACAGTCTACACCTGAACAAAATAGTGAGGGCAAGGGCTCAAACATGGAAAGATGCGGTATATCAAAGAATAGGGATAAACTATGTCAGAACATGGTAATATGGGAGATGAGGGTCAGAGAGTAGCAGGTCGGGTAAGATGGAATAAAGACTTCTTAAAGACTTCTGGTCTCTCCGATATAGGAAAGATGTTGTGAACTTGAAAGGGTTCAGAAAAGATTTACAAGGATGTTGCCAGGGTTAGAGGGTTGCAGCTATAGGAAGAGACTGAATTGTGTGGGCCTATTTTCCTGGGTGCATTGGAGGCTGAGGGGTGACCTTACAGATGTTTATAAAATCATGAGGGGCATGGATAGGGTAAATAGCCAAGGCCTTTTTCCCAGGGTAGGGAGTCCAAAACTAGAGGGCATAGGTTTAAGGTGACAGGGGAAAGATTTAAGGGAATGAGCTGCCAGAGGAAGTGGTGGAACTATAAACATTTAAACAGCATTTCATTGGGTATATGAATAGGAAAGGTTTAGAGGGATGTGGGCCAAATGCTGGAAATTGGGACTAGATTAATTTATCTGGTCAGCATGGATGAGTTGGACCAAAGATCTGTTTCTCTGCTGTACATCTGTGTGAATCTATGACCCTTTAATTAACTGAAAAATGATACAGAAGGCTGAACACACGCACGAGCAGGTTCTTTCTGACCATTATCAGACTGTTGAATGGACTCTAGCCTCAAATAATGTAACCTGGAATGTAACCTGTATGCCTCTGAGTCTTTTTGATCTCTACATCCTTTGCTTGCTGTGATTTGCCTGTACCACTCATAAACAAAGCTTTTCACTGTATTTTGGTACACATGACAATAAATCAATCACTCTACCTGGGAATACAGCAACCTTCAAGACTAGACATTACAAAGGTAATGAAAGAAAAGCCTGATGTGTGTACTATTCAGAACAAAGTAGATGAATTGATGGCACAGACGGAAGTAGATAAGTATGATCTGAATATAATTATGGAGGCATGGCTTCAGGATGATAAAGATTAGGTCTTGAATATTGAGAGGTATATGACAGGCAGGAAAAACAGGAAGCTAATTAAAGGTGGATTCGTAGCACTGTTAATCAAGGATGGCATTTGTACAATCGTTCAAGATGAACTTGGTTCAGGAAATCAGGATGTAAAATAAGTTTGTAAAAAGTTGCCCCTTAGGTCCCCTTAAATCTTTCCCCTCTCACCTTAAACCTATGCCCTAGTTCTGGACTCCCCTACCCTGGGAAAAAGACCTTATCTATGCCCCTCATGATTTTATAAACTTCTGTAAGGTCACTCCTCAGCCACTGATGCACCAGGGAAAATAGCCCCAGACTATTCAGCCTCTCCCTATAGCTGAAACCCTCCAACCCTGGCAACATCCTTGTAAATCTTTTCTGAACACTTTCAAGTTTCACAACATCTTTCCTATAGCAGGGAGACTAGAAGTTTTTATTCTCTCTGCCCTTTCCTACTATTCTGTGGCCCTATTTCCCATATTACCATGTTCCTACGGAGTTTACCCCTACTCTTTGATATCCCGCATCTTTCCACATTTGATCCCTTGCCCTCACTATTTTGTTCAGGTGTAGACTGTCCGAATGGTACAGCCTTCAATCTCCCCAGGGTTGGTGTCAGTGGTCCACACACTGAAACCCACTTCTCCCAATCACTCTTTGAGCCACGTATTCCTCTCTCTAATTTTATGTACCCTATGCCTCAAGGGTGTGCCTCAACGTAACCACAAGGTGGGACAAAATATGTCAGAAAAAAATATTGAGTGCATATGATAAAATGTCAGCAATAATCATGAGTGACTGTAATCTAATTATAAATGTGAAAAATCAGATTAGCAGTAGTAGCCTGGATGAAGAGTTCATAGGATGCTTTCGAGATTGATTTTAAAGCTGTAAGAAACTATCAGAGAACAGGTTAGATTAGACTTGATTAATTAGTGACCTCAAAGTCAAGGTATTCCTAGGTAGCAACATCCATGATATGATTGAATCTTACATCCAGTTTGACAAGGAGAAGAGTGGAGCTAAGACAAATATTTTAAATCTAAATAAACATAGAAATGTAGAAACATAGAAGATATGAGCAGGGGGAGGCCCTGCTCCCTTTGAGCCTGCTCCACAATTCATCTAAACATGGCTGATTTTCCAACTCAACATCCTAATCCTGCTTCTCCCCATAACCTTTGATCCCATTCGCCCCAAGTGCTATAGCTAGCCGCCTCTTGTTTTAGCATCAACTACTTCCTGTAGTAATGAATTCCACAGGCTCACCACACTTTGGGTGAAGAAATGTCTCCTCATCTCCATCCTAAATCATCTACCCCGAATCCTCAGACTGTGACCCCTGGTTCTGGACACACCCACCATCAGGAACATCCTTCCTGCATCTACCCTGTCCAGTCCTGTTAGAATTTTATAAGTCTCTATGATACTCCCTCTCATTCGTCTGAACTCTAGCAAAAACAATCCCAACCTAGTCAATCTCTCCTCGTACGTCAGACCCATCATCCCCGGAATCAGCCTGGTAAACCTTCGCTGCACTCCCTCGAGAGCAACAGCATCCTCCCTCAGAAAAGGAGACCAAAATTGTGCACAATATTCTAGATGTGGCCTCACCAAGGCCCTGTATAACTGCAACAACACATCCCTGTTCCTGTACTCAAAACCTCTCACAATCTCACTACCGCCTGCTGCACCTGCATGCTTACCTTCAGCAACTGGTGTACAAGGACACCCAGGTCCCACTGCACACTCCCCTCTCCCAATTTACAGCCATTCAGGTAGTGATCTGCTGCCTTGTTTTTGCTTTTGAAGTGAATAACCTCACATTTATCCAAATTATACTGTATCTGCCATTGATTTGCCCACTCACCCAACCTGTCGAGATAATGCTGAAGGATCTCTGCATCCTCGTCACAGTTCACCCTCCCACCCAACTTGGGTATCATCTGCTAAACTTTGAGAAGTTACATTCTGTTCCCTCAACCAAATCATTAATATATATTGTGAATAGCTGGGATGCCAGCACCAATTCCTGTGGCACCCGACCTGTTCCTGCCTGCCAATTTGAAAAGGACACATTAATTCCTACTGTTTGTTTCCTCTCTGCCAACCAGTTCTCTCTCCATCTCAATACACTGCCTCCAAACCCATGCGCTTTAATCTTGCACAATAAACTCTTATGTGGAGCTTTGTCAAATGTTTTCTAAAAGTCCAAATATATAACATCGACTGGCTCTCCCTTGTCAACTCTACTAGTTACATCTTCATAGAATTCCAACAGACTTCCCCTTCATAAATCCATGCTGGCTCTGTCTGATCCTGTCACTGCTTTCGAAATGCTCTGCTATAAAATCCTTGATAATGGATTCAAGAATTTTCCCCAGTACTAATGTTAGGCTTACTGCTCTATAATTCCCTGTTTTCTCTCTACCTCACTTTTTGAATATTGGAGTGACAATAGCTACCCTCCAATCTGCAGGGACTGTTCCAGAGTCTATAGAATCCTTGATGATGACCACCAATGCATCCACTATTTCTAGAGACACTTCCTTAAGTGATCTGGGATGTAGATTATCAGGCTCTGGGGATTTATCCACCTTCAATACCATCAATTTTCCCAGCGCCTTTTCTCTATTAATATTGATCTCCCTCAATTTTTCCCTCTCAGTAAATCTTGCACTCTCCAACATTTCTGTTTTCTGATTTATGTCCTGTTTTGTGAAGACAGAACCAAAGTATGTATGCAGTTCCTCAGCCATTTCTTTGTCCCCTATTATACATTCCCCCATTTCTGTCTCTAGGTGACCTATATTTGTCTCCAGCAATCTCTTTCTCTTTATGTACCTATAGAAACTCTTAGTGTAAGTCTTTATATTCCCTGCAAGCTTACTTTCGTACAGTATTTTCCCCTTCTTAATCAATCCTTTGGTTCTTTGCTAAATTCTAAACAGCTCCCAATCCTTATATATATTACTTTTCTTGGCCAATCTGTTATGCTTCTTACTTGGTTTGGATACTATCTCTAATTGCCTTTGTAAGCCATGGATTGGCCCTCTTACCCATTTTGCTTTTGTGACAGACATGAGTAAACAGTTTGTTGCAGTTCCCCCATGCGTTCCCCCATGTTTGCCATTGCCTATCCACTGTCATCCCTTTAAGTAACTCTCCCAGTCTATCAAGGCCAACTCATGCCTCATATCTTCATAGTTTCCTTTATTAAGATTCAGCAATCTTGTCTCTGAATCAACTACCTCACTCTCCATCTTGATGAAGAATTCTATTATGTTATGGTCACTCATCCCCAAGGGGTCTTGC